CTCCGTTTCATGTGACCAAACCATCTAAGATGATTCTCTCTAATCTTATCTTCCACTGAAGCTACTCCAACCTTTTCACCTATATGCTCATTTCGTATCCTATCTCTAAGGGTTAAGCCACTCATCCACCTAAGCATCCTCATCTTTGCAACACTTAACTTAGTATTATGCTTCTCTTTTAATGGCCAACATTCGGCACCATAAAGCATTGTAGGTCTCACCACCATCTTATAGAATTTTCCCTTAAGTTTGAGGGAGACTTTTCTATTGCACAACAAGCCTGATGCATTCCTCCACTTCAACCATCCAACTTGAATTCTGCTGATAATATCCCCATCAATTTCACCATCACTCTGAACAAGAGATCCAAGATATCTAAAACGTGTACTCTTATTAATGACTTGATCGCCTAAAGTCACAATCCCATCACTAGGTATATTGCTACTAAAATTATACTCCATATATTCAGTTTTAGATCTACTCAAGCGGAAACCTTTAGAATCTAAAGTTGACCTCCATAATTCGAGTTTACCTTCAACTCCCTCTCTAGTCTTATCAACAAGAAGAATATCATCAGCAAAAAGCATACACCAAGGTACATCCTCTTGCATGCAAATGTCTAGTGAGAACATCCATGACTAAAGCAAAAAGATATGGACTTAAGGTTGATCCTTGATGTAATCCAACCGAAATAGGAAAATACTTGGTCAAACCACCTTGTGTTTGAACACAAGTAATAGCTCCTGCATACATATCTTTAATGATTTGAATATAAGCATTATTAACTTATTTCTTTTTTTTCATCTTCTAAAAAAAGTATTTTTTTATCTTAATCCTTAATACACTTCACTTGAACTAAATCCTTACTACTACTATCTCTTTGTTTATCTAACTTATACATATATCATTCTCCCTTCTTAGTATCTAATCTATTATATAAATCATTAAAAACTAATCTCTTTTCATCATAAATAGCTTTCTTAGATTTCCTACGAGCCTCTTTATTTCTTTCTCAATTATCAGAATTTTTACATCTAAACCAATTTTTATAACAAATCTTCTTATTTTTTATCTTTTTTGGCACATTTGAATTCCACCACCAACTATTTTTACTATTATGAGCTTTTTCCTTCGAAATTTTAAGTACATCTTTTGCAATATTCTTAATATGACAAGTCACTTTTAATGAGTACATCGATTAAAGGTTCAAACATGTGTATCGTCGGAAGCATCGCAGATCGATGGCCACGATTCAGAGTTTATATTTCTACTTGTTTATGCATTTTATTTTCTTTATGTCTTCCTACATGTTGGGGCCCTGAGGGCAATTTGGTCTTTATTTCTTCTTGTATGTCGAGACCTATATATATGTGTCATTTCTTTTGTAATGGGTTAATGAATATTGGAATGAAAATCTTGTTTGTTAGCTTTTTCTTCTTCTTCTTGTGGTGCACTAGAGAGGAGAACGAGAGCCCAAGGTGAGGGTGAAAGCAATACCCACCAGTCATTGGAAGAGTCAGTGACTCGTGGTCTATCCCCATCATTCCGACCCCTTCCTCCCCCCCAACCCGCCGGCCCTAATCCTCTCTTGGCCGTCGACTACCCCACCTCTCGTTCCCAAGCCTCTCCACCACCGGTCTCCTCCCCCATCCCCACTTGTTCGAATTTTGAAAATTCAAAATTAATTGAGTTCTAAAATTTCCAAGTTTGGCAAAGCCAAATTAGGAAAGTTTTCAAATTCAAATCAATTTGAAATTCAAATTGAAGTGGATTGCAAAATCAAGCCTTCTAATGCAAACAAGCAAATTTGGAAGGTTCGTAACTTGCTCCCTCCTCCTCCCCTCTCCCTCTTGAACCCGCCGACCTCACATGGCTTTCCCCTTCATTAATTGCCACATTAAACCCCTCCCCCATTTGAAATTAAAATTACTTTCAAATAAATCTACCTCCCAAATTTCAAATTCTGAAATTAATTTCAGGATTTATTTAAAACTCCTCCTCCCTCTCTCTTCATAACCGCTGGCCTCCCCTCTTGGCTCCCCTCTTTAATTCCCCCATTTAATACATTAATACCTATGATTTGAAATTCAAAATTCAAGTCATTTCCCTTCCAATCTAATCAAAACAGAAATTAAAATTCAGATTTTGATTAATCCCCTAAATACTCCACTAAACCTAATTTTCTCCAAACGCTAGCCCATCCCACTTGCACCCGCCGGCCTCTCCCTTTCCCCTTGGGAATCCCGCCGCCCCTCTCCTCTTCTTTTTCCCCTTCCTTCACAATCTACAAGTGCTCTCCCTCACCACTACATATTTCCTCCCTTCTCATTGGAATATTCTCCAACGTCAAGCATGCATGGCGGATCCTGAATTTGAGTGGGGACTTGTGTTCGACGCCGACGGAAATCTCAACATCCTACGATCTCCGTTCTTTGACGTAGGATTTGAAGACGACGCCACCGTTGGGGATTATTTGGATCGAGTTGTCGCTACGCTTGCAAGCGTCATCGACCGTCGACTTCCAAACTACGATTGGAGCATCGATAGTCAATCACTCCTGCCATCCTTGCCACCGTCAACCTTTCCGTGGTTCCAGGCCATTGGGGTTGCTACCGTCCTCGTGGCGTCGTTGGGTATACTAAAGACCTTCTTCCGCTAAGCCTAGTGTAGTTGAGTGATCCATCCCCAAGGTGAAAATTCTCATTATTAAGTTGCAGATTGTTGATTAATAGCTTTTGATATTGCTACTATCTTTGGTTACCTAGGAGTTTTGGTTAATCTATGTGTACTTCTTCGCCTAAGCTAGTTGAAGATTAAAGTTCTTTGATGAATTTGCTTGTTATTTCAATAAGTTATTAATTGATATTTAATTGTCAACTATTCTTAAAATTTCTTAAACAAGCTCCTTTGCACATGGTTTTATATCAACTTTTTTCCACATAATATTGGCAAAAAAGTGACTTGTGAAATAGACTTTTTCCAAGCACTTTTTTTTTTTATATTTATGGAAATTATGAGCATTAAGTAATATTGAAATAGATGCATAAAAAGTTTTGGTAAGCCTCTAAACAAAGTTGCGGCAAGCAATTTTTATATGCAATAATATTGTGTAATTAATTTTACGAACAATTATCAAGTGAATATGCTTCACGTGTTGAAATTTTTATCCACAAAAGATTATTAGGTATCTAATTTTGAGTATATCTCTCTTTTTCTAATCAGTAACTCAAGATAAAAAGTAGTTTTGGTTTAGTTCACTTATGATTAGTTTGGTCAAGTTGTAGTGCTTAGTATATTTGACTACACAAATCATCTCATAAGCTTGCTAATTATTATAACATCATCTAATGTATCAAGTGCAATAAACTTACAGTAAATTAAGGAATTAAAAGGTGAGAATGTAGAGGTTATCCTATGGAGAAAATAGTTTTCACACATGTTGTGATGCCATCTTGAAGAAACCTTGATGTGATTGCCTTGATACCCTTCTTTCCAATCTCTAATATATAGGCTTTTAGCTTTGATATTTTAGAATTGATGGGGAATTGGGCCTTGAGCTAAACAAGAATATTCTAGCTCTCCTGCCTGCTATGTTGAATGGATGAGTGGATGGTGGCGAATGCCTTTGGAGTGGTGTTGTTGAAGTGGTGTAAAAGAGGAGAGGAATTGCTATGGTAATCGAGAGGTGTTGCTTGGTTACAAAATTTTTAGTGGACTTAGTGGTGTTGGGGTTCGATCAAAACCTGTATGGTGCAAATAAGAGTAGTCGGAATGTGATTGAGTGATTAGTAAGGGTCGGATAGGGTGTGGAGGCTTGGGAAATGGGGTGTTTGAATACGCCAGGCACAACGCAGGTAATATGAGAAATAAATTTGCACGACATGTAGATATATCACTTAATACATATTTGCATAAAATATCTTGGTCAGCTATTCCTTTTTTAGTTGAAATATAAAATTAAGTTAATGTTAATTTCAATTTTAGATGTCATGTTAACTTTAATATCATATAAAATTACACCTATTCCACAAATGGGCTGCTGAATTTTGTGTTTGTTGGGCATGGGGGCGTCTACTTTTAATCCTCTCCTCTCCACATGGCTTAAAACTTTTAGACCTATCTATGATGTCTGCGAAGTCGTCCAGATGGATTAAAGAAATGATAAAAAATGAGAAAGATAGATGTGTGATGATAGGAATCTAGTAAAATTTTAATATTAATTAGATAAACATTGAGAGTAGCACTTACTATAGAGAATGTAGCAGAAAGCAATACTTGTTGGAGTATGTGTAATAGAAGATATAGTTATGATAAGGCTTGTGATAATGATTCTTTTGAACTAAAAAATTTCTCATTAGTGCGTGTTTTGGGAAAGCTCTTGCAAGCACCATCATTAAATTCCTATATACATTCTTCCCTTTTGCAAGATTGTGTGCACGTTTATATGTTCTGGCGAAAGTCTGGTAAGCATCATCGTTACCTCCGGTTTCTTCCTTCCTCTTACCTGTTTAAGCAAAGCTCTAGCAATTATCATTACTACTTTCATTTTGTTAACGGGAGAGAAACCAGGCTGTACTAGGAGTTGAGTGGAACCATGTTAAAGGTTTCTGAAAAAATAAAATAAAATAAAATCCGCTTTTTGGTTTTATTGATCTATGAAATCTCAAGCATCCCTGGTTATTTTAATTGAATATTTGAGGATCTGATTCCAGGATAATATATGAAGAGATGAGTTCAATTGTAAAATGTACACTCTCAATAAATGATATAATATTGCATCTTAGGGAGGTTTTCTAGCATAATATTCGGACTATTCGGGACTCTGTCCTCGTTATAATTTTGTTGTGGTCATATGTTCTCTTACGATATTTTTCTTGCATATCAGTATTCATTTACCTTTTTGTATCCTTCGATTTAGGATTCAAAACTGTTGTACCCAATTTATCATGATCATATTTAATAGGATCTCTTGGTCTTTGCTGATCTATGTTTATTTCCAGGTATCTCGATCAAGTTCTGTGCCTCCAAATATGCGGGACACTTTATATCAAGGATTACCGCCAAGCATAAAAAATGCCTTACGTGCAAAGTTGCACTCCCTTCAGGTAGAAGAAGAGGTAAAACTCTACTCCAGTTTTATATCAAATCATTGTACAAGTTTCATGCAGATTTAGTTATTTATTAAAAAACATGTCTCAGCCTTGAATCCTTCTACAGATCACAGTTGAACAGATCAAAGCTGAGATGGACAAAACTCTACGATGGCTTGTTCCAATTGCCAATAACACAACCAAGTAATTTATATTACCTATAGCTGGTCTAAATTTTTTTCCCGTCTTCTGATCGGATCTTGTATCTTTAGCTGACAGCCTAATAAAATCTAATTATGCTTTATATGTTTGACATTATAATTTATTATAACAGAGCTCACCATGGTTTTGGCTGGGTCGGAGAGTGGGCAAATACAGGGTACCTCTCTTTCCACTACATTATCCATGAATCAAGATGTAATGACATTAAAATGGTGGTCCATTAACTGTTTCCATGTATTTACTTGTTTTAGGACTGATTTGAATCGGAAGCCAGGTGGACAAGCTGACTTGATTAAGATACAGACTCTTCACCACGCCGATAAAGTCAAAACTGAATCATACATACTGGAGCTAATTGTGTTGCTCCACCAACTCATAATTCATTCAAAACCAGAAAATGGAGGTTTAAGATCTCCCATAAAGTCCCCTATTCGTTCTCCGACAAAAAGAAGCTTGACTATAACTTTGCCTGAAAGCATATCCACCACCTCTACTTTGCTCTCCAAGGAGGATCAAGAGATGCTGCGTTATGTCAACTTCAGAAAGCTGATTCCTGGTATTAGCAAAAGCCAGGAGTTTGACACTAACAGGTCTAAGCCAGACAAACATAGCAGGTTGAGTAAAAGCAACAGTCATTCACCAACAACTGCAAGCAAGAAAGACTTCTATCCTTTGAGAAGGCCATCTCTACTACCTGTTATTGATTTTAACATTGATAAGATGAAAGCTCTTGATCTAATTGATAGAGTTGATACATTAAGAAAATTATGAAATTGAATAAACACAGCAGTGTATACTTCTTATATAGATACACATGCCGGTTAGCTCTAAGCGGCCTTGTAAGATAAGAATGAGCAGTGATGGGTGGTTTTGTATGTGATAAAGGGGTTGGAGCTTGATATTTTGTAATATATATGAAGCATTGTTTGCAACATAATACGAGGAAAAAAAATGGTGCAGCCTCAGTTTCTACTTTTATTAGCTGCTCCAAGTTTTCCAGAAGTGCGAGGTCTCAGGATGATTTAGAGATCAGTGAGTAATCTTGATAAGCGAAAGGTTTTTCTTTTTTTCTGCATAATGTACAGCTTCACCAGGATTGATTTGGTTTTTCCTTGCAATTTTCGCAATGTGTTAGAACTTTCCATTAATCGCTTGTGAAATTGTTAGCTCAGCTTGGCTGCCTATAGAGGTTTTTTGCTTCAGTGGAACTATCTCTAGAGTTGTGGAATGTGTTGTTGTGGAGCTGCACTTTTTATCTCAGAAGTAAAATATGCTATGCAGATTTAATTTTGAGTTTAATTTTACAGTTTTTTTATTAATGCCATTTTAAAAGTTTTATTATAAATATTTTATTGGCATTTTTGTTTATTACAAAGGAGTAACATCTAAATGCTTTATTAGTTAATGATACATTTTTTTATATGATTAAATTATAATAAAATATATAGCGGTGGTAGTAGGATTTTATGTTTTTGTTGATTTTTTTAATTATTATTTTCACTATTTTCTCTCAATATTTGAGTTGAGTTTAGTCTATTTTTTAAAATAATGAAATGTTGATAGAGGGCCATGATGTAATTTACATTTTTATTTTGGGGATTAAAATAAGATTGGAAGTGCATAAACCGTTCTTATTACTCGACTCTCTTACGAATCACACATGAATATGTGATAAAACTTGAAAGGATAAATTGAGGAATAAATGCTTTTAAGAAAATGCTAAAAGTGATATATGTTCTAGACAAGAATTGAAAAAAAAAATGTAAAGCTTTATTTGGGGAGAAATTATTCTGTGTGGTCACTGAACGCCGTTCGGCGGCGAATCAGGATGCGCCACGCCACTTTTTGTTATATATCGGTGTTGTGTATCTTTGTGTACAAGGAGATAGCGCATTCTGATTCGTCTCCAGACCATCCGGTTACCACAAAGAATAAATTTTATGTACTAAAATTTTGCTTTAAGAAGCAGTAAAAAAACAGTTCCAAACGAAACCTAAATGACATAACTATGTATAATAACTGATGAATTTGGCCTTATTTGTCAAGTTAAGAAAATTAATTTTAGAAGATAAAGAAAAATATTTTTTAAACTTAATGATTACATAAATAGATTTAAAATAATTTATTAAGTGGTTTTTATGTTATGAAAATTAATGCAAAGCTATCTCTACCAATTATTTTTATGCTTCCAATTTCCAAGGCTTTCCTTGTATTGGCCAACATGTGAATCAATGCAATGGGCTATAGCTTATTTCAAGGTAGACTAGGGCATAAATTATTCTATCCTATTATCTATTAACATATGCCCCTACACCCATCTTCATCTTGCCTGTTATAGCCCATTTTTACTTCGTGCTGTGTCGGTGGATTGAGCCCTTTGTTTAATTCTCCATTTGAGGAAATTAAAGTAAAATTTCTCACATAATATTTTCTTTTACTTTTATGTTAAATTTCTCACATAATATTGTCTTTTACTTTTATGTTTAGTTTAGTCGAATTGTTCAAAACTCATCTACATACTAATATAATGAACTCAGATTTAAATGTGTTGCATGTTAGAACAATAACAACCACATAGATAAAGAGAATTCTTTATCTAAATATTTTGAACGAAGATCCAACATAAGGGAGAAGTGCAAGAATTGTAAGAGATACTAGAATTTTTATATTACAATCCTTTTGAGAAAGAGAAATATCATTAGTTTGGCCTAGATAAAATGTTTTATCTAGTTCTTATCATTGATTATAAAAAAGCTCTTTTTTGGTTGAAGACATTGATTCAATATACTAAATATACAAGTGATATAACATATTGCATGGTTGAAATTGGAAGAGCTTTGTGGCAATGGAGTTATCTTTACGAATCATGTTCTTTTGAGAGGGGGAGAACAATGACCAAGAAGTTTAGTGTAAATCCTAATATTGAAATTGAGAGTTAGAATGAGAGTTGATGACATGCATAGAGATTATTTGCGGTGATGGGTGCTAAAGCTAATGGGCATTGATGTAGCCTGGTAATAATGGCCAGAAGGCTATATGATAGAGGACCATAATCAAGTGATGGTGCTCCTGCTATTCTTGCTTCATAATTGGTTCTTCCACCATGTCCTTTATGTGGACAATCTATTACCTTTTGTCCTTGTTGTCCACATCAAAAACATCATCCCATCAAAAGGTAGCATTGTCCTGAATGTCTCCTTTCATAATGAATGCAATCATTGTAGCTGCTGGTAGGGACTATCGATCCTCTCATTGAATCACCAGACCTGCTTCTCTTATCACTAACACATTCCTTAACCATGCTTGATTCATCTCTTGTCCTTCTCCCGCTCAGTTCATACCTTAATGCAGGTATTGCCAAAATAAAGTATATCAATCTAGCACTTTCCATCAGCTCAATGAACTACTGAATCCATAAAAGTACTAATGCATTCCTCAATTCCCTATTCAATCATTATAGAAATCTCTAATATTTTCCTTCAATATTGGAGATCAAATGAGGAGCGTACCTAGCCAATGCCGTAAACTCAACTTTATATTGCATCATTGTCTTGCATCCTTGTTCCAATCTTATGAAGGCTTCTTGCATTTGCCTTCGGGCTAAGAGAGGAACAAACCACATTTTGAACACTATAGTAAACTCTTATAAAGCAATCTCTGTATTAGTTTCCCTTTAAAATATCTCTCACTGTTGTTCTATCTACCATCTTTCAACTACACTTTCAAATAGAATGACAGCTAACGGTACCTTCTAATTCTCCAGGCTCTGCATAATAACAAAGTTTTTCTCTATCTTAAGTAATCAATTTCTATAATATGAGATTTTATAGCTCCTTTGAATAGTGGCTGTTTCAACTTATGAAATTTCTATAAAAGCTTATCCTCAATTTCTTCCTTACTTCTAGCTCGCTTGCTTTGTATATCCCTCATTACCTGTGCCATACCACTAGATAGCTGCATAACCCTGACTGATGATACTGAAGTTGCACTATATTATTCAATATGTATATTTTGCTCTGGTATAAAATTGTCTGAATAATACACACATATAAGCAATTACCTAAATCTACCCAAACCCTACCCGATTTACAATCAATTTATATAACTCTAATAACATTCATTTCTTCCAAAAACCATACTATGATACCATATTTTTTCATGCCCTAGAATTAAAATTAAAAAATTATACATCTTTTATGTTTTTGTAGAAATAACAAGAATTATCTAATTTTTTCAATATAAAATACGAGTAGAAATAAATTTAGTGATCAAAATATCAATATACATATGCATTCATTACACTACCAATCATTTACAAAAGTCAGGATTCATATAAATACAACATACTGTTTGCTCACTTTAGAGCTCAAAAGAATGACTAAAAGACAAAAAAATAATAAAACTTGAAGATTTATGTATCTGATCATCCTCACACTCACGAACCTCTTTCATGACCTGAAATCATTAACTACATATAATATGCTTATGAAACCCAGCATGTCACAAAAGCTCTAAAATTGAACTCGAAGCATGGAAAATAAACATTATGCATGAATTAATTTAATTCAAAACAATAGTAGTTAACATGATTATGAATATATGCATGAACAGTAAAACACATACAACAATCTTAAATCCTATAAAATAGTATAGTACAAATGTCAAAATAATAATGATATAAACCATTATTCTTAAACTAACTATCATTGAAATATTATCCAAACAATAAGAAAATTAAATAAATAATTAAAAAAGTATTTATAAAAACTATCAAAAATCTATAACAGCATAGTATTATTAAGGGATCATGTAAGAAAGTACATAATGGTTAGTTATTCTTAATTAGTAACAAATCAATATATAAATCATATATTTTGTAATGGTAAATTGGTTGTAGTAAATATCAGCATTTAATATGCATGTTCAATTAGTGATTTTAAATAAGTAAGAATTTCTAGATTGCATGGTATTTTTCTTATAAATAGCCTAGTAACAGCAAACTTGCAACAACTGGCTTTCAGTATTAGAGTCGTTACTCTTACCCATTGGCACAATTATAGCTCTAAATAAGTAAATTACATGAATCAAAGGATAACACTATAAATAATAATATTTAAAGAAAAGCTCACCAGACCAGCATCGTGTATAGGTATAAAATAGTCTCTAGCAACCCTCATTAATAAACTAGTCTTTCTTATTTTTATACACATAAATTATAAAAGTAATATATAGCTAATCTTCATTCACATGCTTATATTCAATCACAATGCTTACATTAATAGTATAATCTTATCAAAAATCCAAAATCACTATTCATATACAATTCATACAAAATGTAATAATTTCAATTTTAACTGATGAAAATACAAAAATAACTAGTCAAAATGACTTGAATTAATAATACTACAACATACAAAAAGTTATTCTGTAGCAACTATCATGCCCTAGAATCTAATTTGAAAGAATAATTTTTTGGTATCTTTGAATAACAATAATAACTAGAGCTATCCAATTTCTTTTATCAATAGTATAAATATCAACATAAATGAAGATATTGTTCAAATCATTAATATAGATCTATATTCATACTATAAAAATTATATACAACACCTAGGAGTTATACAAATATAACACCCCTCTTTTCACTCCTCAGTACAAAAGAACATTTGAAGATAAAAAGAAGCAAATAATGGAAAAACCTAGGAAATCCTATAATTAGTCAATCTCACACTACCAATTATCTTCCCTAGCATAAAATCATTTAAACTGTATATAATGAGCTAGAAAGCCCAACTGTCACTAAATCCTATAATTGAACTCAAAGCATAACAAAGAAGAAGTATACATATGATTATGTATCTATATAGAAACAACAAATCATATACAATTGTAATAAACCTATAAAGTAATAGAAAAGTGCAATATAAAATCTAATAAAATAGTATAATAAGGAAACAAGAAAAAAATCTAAACTACTAAACTAGTACGAATGCCAATTTAATAAATAAGTCATCATAGCAGTACTATCAAATTAATAAAAAAATTATATAAATCAATAAAAGTAAAACATCTATAAAGACTATTAGAATTATATCAATGGACTAAAATTATATAAAAGTAGACACAAAATATTTAACTATTCTATATCAATATCAAATTAGCATTTTATATCACATGCTTGATAATAGGAATTAATAATAGTAATAGTAAA